TTAGTGCAAGCTCTCTTCACTTTCAGTGGAGAAAACTAAGCAAACTAGAAAATTATTAATTTGACCTATCTTAAGCATCTGCTTTAGGACAGAATGAATCACTCTCTAGAAAGGTCTGGCTCTCTCCATAAAGTGAGTCTAGACACTGAGCTCAGATTAGATGGCTACAGATGAATACAGATGAATCTCACCCTACGTGAAGGCAGAAAACAAGTCAGACAGATGTACAAGTGCAGTTCATGGGTGAAGAGCAGAGGGAAGGCAACGCAGTGATTAAAAAGTTGCTCCTCAAAAAAAAGTTTACATTTCTGAGACAGTTTGCTTTCGTTTAACATGCCAAACAACAACAATAAAACCTTCCAAAGCCCAAATCAATATCTGCCCAGCTGATCCAGCTTTGGTGTAAGACTACTCCTGGATTTACTGGCTCAGGCTAAGCCCTCATGGAGCAGTGCCCGCAAACCAGCATCCAGCTGGTTGGGACTCTCCAAGGCTCCTAGCAATGATGATGATGATGATGATGATGACGACAACAACCACCAGTATCAGTTACATGTGTCTTTGTCCCCTCCCTGATGGACTGTAGCAATGCAAGATACCTGTTACAAAAATCTTCCCACTTTAGAACTATAGCAGTGCTACCTCAAGAGCCTTTGAACACCTCAGCGCTGGCTACACTTCCAAGGCTTTGGACAACAGCACCTCTCCTCTACCAAAGTGGGACTTTGCTGCTTATCTGACAGAGAAGCACACTATCAGAGATGATCTCACAAGATTTTTAACTTTAGAAAGCAAACCAATGAGAGAAAAATAACCGAGACCTATTTTTAAGAAAACCCTAGAAATTTTACTTAAACTCAAGCCAATTTACTTTCAAGACATTTATTTTTTCTTCAAATTATGAGGACCTCATGATTGAAAAGACTCCACCCAAGCTCAAAATACTCAAACTACTTTGTTTCTAAGTGTAAAAATGAAGCATTTTGGCATTTTCAAAATGATTTCTGAGTTTTTTTCCCCAATAATTTGGCAACCCCAAAATATCCTAAAAATGGCAGAGCCCTCAGTCCCTAACTAGGATGATCCTTCTGCTATGCAGATCTGATGGGCTGCGATGACATGCTCCTCTTGGAACACGTGAAACAGTCACAACTTGGAGGGACCATCAAGGAAGGCTGGTTTGCAGTACAATTAGGTTTTTACTAGGCTTTGCAACTGAAGTTTCAACATGATCAACAAACCATTATCACATACACAGTTACTGATCACATCTCCGCTATAAATGGGAAGCGTTACCAAGGAAGCTGTTTTTGATGGTCCCACAGCATTATAGTTACTCAAATATCACAGCATAGACCTGTCTTCGAGTGCTAAAAAGGGCTTTGAGTTGACAGATTAGAAGTGTAATTGAGACATGAACAGACCTCAAATCAAAGGAATATTTGAAAACTAAAACTGGACCCCAGGGAAATCAGCAAATAAGGACTATACTACAAGTGAGCAACTGCAAATTGGCAAAAACTGAAAACCAGAAGTTGGCTATGTGCAATATCCTGCATTTATTCCAAGAGAAGGTCATGCTCTCCATCTTGCTTTGAAGATCAGGCAATGAGAGATTACCGTTTTACTAGTCCTTTCCTGCAGGTTTTTGTCATTTCTTGCTCTCTTGCATGACATAATTTGGTTTTCCTAATTCACAAATCAGCATAAGCTAATAAAACTGTTTAAGAGATGGCAGCGTTGTGCCCAAGTTGTTTCATTCTTCGCTATTATCCCACAACTAATCCTTCAACTCCAATAAGACCGTAATTCATTTCCTCCTTTATTCTTCCTCTTGGACAGGTTCAATCCTGCCTCACCACAAATGGGAAAGGTGAGGTTTTATCTTCCTGGAGTGTGCGTGATTTCAATTACCTAATGTGTGTATCATCTATGAAGTCAGGAAAAAACTGCTAAATTATTTTCAAAAGTTTTAGCTGCATTACACAGACAGAAAAGATTCTAGTGGAAATTGAAAACCAACCAACCAAATCCAGCAAAAAACCAAAGCAAAACAAAACAACCAAAACACAAAACAACCAACAATTTACTATCTTTTAGATTGCACTTTAATAAAAGCTTCTTTACAGTAGCCATACCAAGCTTTACCCATCTGAAAATCTTGTGACATTTTGTCTAATGTACAAAGGCTGCTCCTGATGGGGCTGAGTCATCCCTACACTAATTGTTCTGCTAGTGTAAAAGCTACTTATATCCCATTTATGCCTACTTTAATGCTCTGGGTGAAGTAACATCACCTTGTGACAAAAGAGGTTTCATTTGCATAAAACAGGCAGGCATAACTGTGATTTCTGTTGAGCATCCATTCCTCATGTGAAGCTTGATTCTCCCACTTTGTACAGGGTGAGTAACTGTACCTGGGTGCAAGAGAACAGTAAATCAAGTTGTCAGCACTTTGCATATCCCACAGGTCCTAAAGCAGAAAAGCAGTGTGCAGATCTTGGGGCTCAGGCAAGGAAGTAATCCATCCTGCCCTGAAATCTGTACCAAAGGGAAGAAGATATCTTTCTCTGCTCTGTGAACACATCCATGGGACATTCTAGCCCAGCACATCTTTCCTGTGTGAAAAGCATTTCCAACATGAGGGCTTACTCAACAAGAAAATGAACTGCTACAGGATGGGAACATCTGCAAACTGTACACAAACAGGACTAGCACGTGGGGCTGAAGTTAGGCTGCAGCTCACACCCTCCAGCGTAGGAACCACTACTGAAGATGACCACTGATCCTGCAACACTAACGTCATCTAGAAGTCAGCGTCCCAAGATTTAATCTAAAAGCCATTATTCACCATTGTTTCATCCACAGCAGGTATTTTTCACAAATTAAGGCTCAGGTAAACCACCCTTCGTTTTAGGATCAACCTGTGGGATTTTTCAGTCCTACTCACTGGACATCTGTCCTTCCAGATCCTTATCTGGAAACCATGGAAGCAACTTCGTTCCCAGAGTGGTCTCCATTGCTCTTGTTACCCATTCCTTGACCCCAATACCTTTGAAAAAGCGATCAGGAAACAGACGAAAGTTCATCACCACAGGGGCAGTTGTACCCGTGAAAAAACGTAGGACAGCTCGAACTCACATTCTCCACTTACACGATGGAGAATCTACCATGTGCAGCATGTTGGGTTGAGAAGGACACGACTAACACGAGCTGCCAGGCTGGGAGGGCACACACAGGTGCAGGCACAAACAATGCACTGTGTGAGCTTCGCTTCCTTAGGAAGCCAGCCCAGAGCCCACCCTTAACCTTCCCCCTGCTTCCAGTGCAGCCACGTCCTCTGCACTGCTAATGCAACGTGAAACACAGTGCTGGAAAACAAAGGCACTATTGACTAACTTTTTTGCAGGATTAAGACGACTGTGCTGGCTCACAGCAAAGATTTCAATGATTTCGACACCGAGCACTAAGTAACAGGAACACGGCTTGGCAGTAAATCCAGAGATTACCTGTTGAAACATTAATGACAAACATCTTTTGATGTGGGCTGCTTTATGTGGTGCAAAAGCCAGCACTGTAATTATGCATTTCCTTTCTACGAATCTAGTATTTAAAAGTAAAGCATTACTGGGGGGTGAGGGGGGGTGCGCATGTGCATGTTTGTGCATGTGTGTGTGTGTGTGTGTGTCACAGGAAATACTCTACAGCTGAGCCTGTGATTTACCAGGGTAGCTGCACGTAGTAAATCTGCAACAGGGGAGCTCAGCTCTTTCATTCATCGTGCACCAAGCAGAGGGCTAAAACAATTGCCACACTTAAGACAAATGTCAGCGTGAGTCATACCAGACGGAGTGCAAACATGTTTGCTGTCGGGTGAGTCAGAATTATCACATCCTGAATTCACAAACCTTCCTATAAATAATAATTTCCGAAATTGTTGCATTTCTTAAATACAATGCAATTTTAAGTATGATGCCAAATCCATAAAGGTTTTCCTGACTACAAAGAAAATGTTTTTCCATCTCTTCCCTTTTGTTTCTGATTATGTGTATCTACCTACAGCAGTAGGTAGTCTACAGTGCCTGAAGTGGTAATTGCATTGATTCATACTTAGGAAAATGCAGGCATGGCTAAAAAAAAAAAAAAAAAAAAAAAAAAAAAAAAAAAAAAAAAAAAAAAAAAAAAGGAGAGAACTAAATACAAGCAGTAGGATCTTTCACTTACTGTATATGCTTTCTAAATCAGCA